GTACGTAACCCTCCTGAAGCCCTGATTGGGCGCTTTCCATATACTAAGGAATTCCGGAAATTCCGGTTGGGATTGTAATGGAACACACGTTTTCCAGGCGTTCCACTGGAAAGTTCCTGGGAATAATTGGAATTTTAAAAAGGTAGTCCTGTTTTCCCGTTGGAAGATTTCTGGTGAAAAAGCATGATCCATTTACTAGTTTTCACAAGGAATCAGCGGCAGTTCCAGCCTATTCACGGCGATATCTAAGCCACCATCTTGAATTTTGGTGACGAAAGCATAAACGAATGGAACTTGTGTCAAATGGAACACATTCTTCACTCGATGGACCTTTCCATGAAAGTTTTCGAAAGTTTTTAGTAAATGGAAAACGCCCGTGGACACTCGTTATTGCGGACAACATGCAGACACTTGATTATTGCCCAACCAAGAGATTCTCGTAGAAAGCCAACCTCGCTAATGCGTGCACGTCTTTCTCATTTGCGTGCAGTATTAAGGCTTTCCTTTTTATTTGGGCGTCGCTCAAATAGAGTAATCGAATTCGCTTGTTTTGACTCAAAGCTGCAATAGGCACGCAATACGTGCGAGCGTAAAAAAGCCAAGTATACAAGCCAAGCGACGCAAATGTCTACCGCGCGGTGCGTCACAACACAGTATTTATCTTCATTACATACGACCCAAAGATAACGCACGGCAAACAAATCGGCAATAGAAAACAAACTTTTTGGCAAAAACAAGGTACACGAGCACACACACAAAATTTCAGAATCTTCAGTACCCCTTTCTCTGTATTAAATGAGCTTTTGGCCTTATCCATGTTCTCTCTACACAAATATTATCAAAAATAAGCGAAAAACAATCCTAAACAGAAAGCCTGGCAACATCTAAAATAAGTACAAGTATGTACTTTTCACAACCACCACTTTATTTCAACGTACTTTAACTACGTACATTATTCCTTAATTCATAACCAAATTATCACTTCCACAACTACCTCACTGCAACCCCTAAAATCACTTTTACCTCCCAAAATAATTATTTTTTGTTACTTCATTTTGTTACTACGAGAAACATTTCAGGGCAAGAAATGACCCTTTTGAGGCCGATTTACATGGTTTTGAGCCTGAAAATTGGTTCTGCTCATGCGCAATTTATTCTATGGGGTTGAATGAAGAAAGGCAAAACAAAATGGCGGCCGAAAAGGGTACTTGTCCCGTGGAAGGTTTTTATCGCAGAATAGGGACACACGTTCGTCTAAAAGTCTATGATTTATCAACACACTAGGGATCCACACTCCTGTTTGGCTTTTTGTATAAGAATCCTTAAAACGAAGTTTGTTTTGTCTAAGCTTTCCTCTGGATCCAGTTCTTCATCACGATCATCAGCGTCTTGCTGTGCAGATTTGTAATTGTACAATTAGTACAGAAGTTTAGTGCCAACAAACATAAAGAACATTTATGAGTTGCTGAACATGAAACCGGGTGCAACTTAATAAATTTACGACAAATTTTGTAATTTATAGATTCAAAGATTACTTGTTTATTTGCTGGGCCTGAAATGATGGATATCCTTTGTGGTTGTATTTCCTTTCCTACCAACGCCGTTTTCCTTCTTTTCTCGGTCGCTTTGCACGGCCTCTACACAATTTAACGCAAACGTAATGCAAATTACAAGAAGGGCCGGGGCGCTCCACAAAATCGCCTTCATCTGCGAAGAAAGGAGTACTTTTCAAACGCCGATTTACATATATTTTTGTTGGATCCTAAGGCTTTCCATATCAACCCGTGCATATTTCAAATACGCATGTTTTAAACGACTAAGACGCTTGAAGTGATGACCCTGTTTTGGCCGAGCGGTCAATGACCGTCACGGCTTCTTTTAAGTTCGACGACCTCGAAGCCCGATTTACAAGGTTTGTCTTTCATTTTCCCAACGTATTTTCGACTTCCAGATAGAGTAATAAATAAATATCGTAAATATAACCGTACATTTAGAGAAAGTAATCGTTAACTTTTTCCAGTTTTGCTTTTCGTTTAAAATTAACAATTATCGATGTGAATTTGAGTCACGATTTCGGGGCCTGGGAACGAAAAAAAGGCAAATGTCTCGTAATTTTTTGGCATGCACTGATTAACAAACTACAGCCACTATCTTACTAATTCAAGTCCAATATAACTCCACGCCTTCCACTTCACGCATCTCAACCAACCCCTAAAATATACAACGCTACTACACTACTCACATCCCTTTAAATACACATAAAAAACTTCGCACGCGCCATGTACATCGCCCCCAAATATACGCTCCCAAAGCGTCTTGTTCAATATATTCTGAGTGTTTCCATGATGACCTTTTTTTTTGAAAATTATATGTTCAATTTTACAATGCTAATAATGTCCTGTTTTATTCTTTTAGTATTTTGTTCGAAAGCATGTACCGTTTAATTAAATAACATGACCGGCTTAATACCGACACCCCGTTAATACGGACCTTTTTTATGCCCCCCGACCCCGACCCCGACCCCCGGGGTCCGTATTAACGCGTTTGTCTATAACAGTAAGGCTGAGGGCCGGTTGCTGTATTCGATCTTTTGGGTCGGCGCTTCAATTTGCGTCTAGCTTACCACTAGTCATTCAGAATTTCCCTTCGAAAGATAGTCATATCTAATTAATAGCAAGGATTTCGTCATAGCGGTTCGTTATTAAAAATATATCGAGTTAACATCCACTCCATATGCCTATGCTGACTGGACTGAAACATCGAATTTTATCTAATACCGTAAAGTTCCGCAAGTAACGAGTACTTTCGGAAGGTTGCTACCCTCGAGTAGCTAACATACACCGTACATGGGCCTTAATTACTAGGTTAAAGTAATAATATCGCCACAATTGTGAAAACATCCAAAATTAATATTTAGCGAAAGGCATTTCTTGTTATAGCTTTTTGAATAAAAATTTAAAGAATCCTTGATTACGGTATGGGTATTCACAGATGAAAGGAAAAATTTCTGAAACAAAATGTATTATGTACCTTTCCCGGTTACATAACGGAATGTCAATGATCATTCCCGGGGTCGTTATAACCGTTAAAAAAACCTCGAATCAGCTTGGAAAAGTTTGTTGTATCTATAACTTCCGTAATTTCAAGCAAAAAGGGAAATTACTTTTGAAGTCACTACTTTCGGAAAGTCGTTATTTTCGGGGAGTCGTTACTTTTGGCATTCGCTGCTTTCGGAGGGTTGCTTCTTTCGCGAAGGGGGGGGGGGATTGGGGAGTCGTTACTATCGGTTCTTAACTGTACAAGAAGTTCATTCTATTTAGGAACTTAAGATTAATGAAATTCTAAACAAATCGAGTGCCAGAGACAGAATCTTAGGTCTCGAAACTTGAGGATACAGTAAAAACCCACCTATAAGAACATAGATTTTTCCAACTAAGCCTAAATAGGTTCTTATAGAAATGGTATTTAGAGGGAGTTTAGGCTACGTGGGTTCTTAAGTAGGTTCTTAATTTGATAGGGGCACTAGCAATCAGCACAGATAACTACTGTAGTACAGGGCATATGTCATATGGATTATATTGCTGTATTAAATAATTATCTAGAATACAATTTCTATGACAACCGTACGGTAAATTTATCTTTCCAGAGTACTAGCACGCATTTCTTTTATGCTGCAGTGTCCATGAAATGCTGTGTTACATTTTTAATCTTACTGGCTGAAACCTAAACTAAAATTTTTTTTTCTGTATAATTTTTGCTCCGTGCTCTTATTTTTGTAAAATAAGAACCTTTTGACTAAATAAGAAAATTTTGGGCTAAATAGATTCTTATGAAACGGGGGTTTAAAATGAAAATTTTAGTCTAACAGGTTCTTAAACGTTAGGTTCTTATAAGTGGGTTTTTACTATACTGGAAGGCCCCCTTTGTCAAGATTCTTGTTTTACTTGTCGCCTCTCGTTCAGATTCTCTTACCTTCAATTTAATTTTAAAATTAGATCTGAATCACAGTGGGTTAGAAAATTTCGTGCATCAGACAGCGAGAACCGCACAAAAAAAGGTTTCATGTTGTTCTATTATTTTACCTATATAACTGTGAGGTAAAAACGTTTCAAAATAAACACCGAAAATGTATTTTCGCGGACAGGATGAAAGTCAAATCCCCCTTTTTGATAAATACGCACGCGGAAATTATGTTTACGAGGTTTACGTAAGAGTCCTAGATTAAAATGTAAATTAAAGTAATTCTGTGAAATCGAAACTTCTGTATTTTTGTTCAAATCTAAACAACCCTTCAGATAAAATTTATTTCTTGCGTTTCAGCAGTCCAATAAAATGAAAAGAATGTGGAAGGACAACCGCAGTGGAAGAAAGATCAGAACATACGTTCAAAATGCAAACACTGTGATAAAGATGTGGTCTTTATAATGTTGAATTTAATAGCCGACTACCGTGCAAACGTTTCAAGAAGTTGCTTTTTGTACGAAAAACCAAATTTTCCATCAAAAAAAGATTATTAATCATCCCTAAAAAGTCATTAGAGGGTTATTTCTACACTCTTATAGCTTTTATTTTACCTTTTCAAAGTTGTCGACGTCATTAATTGAAAGTCTAAATTACTGTAGTGAGATTAACATGATAAATAAACTCTCTTGGAAGTTTCCTTAATTGCATTGCTTTCTTACAAGGTGACAAATTGACATTACGGGTAAGCTTGAGAGACGAGGCAGGTGAAATAAGGTACACTAAGCAAATATTGGCGATTGAGACAAAGACGATAAAAGCAAAGAGTTTAGGTTTTAATGAAAATGCGAGTTCTTGACCACTCCTCCTAAAGCAGATGGCCAAATAAGACAAAAAACATCAAACGCCACTTCAAGCTCTGTTTGTGATAGTCTCTTGAAACGCGTTAAGTTGAGGCAAGCTTCAAAGCGAAAAACAAAAAAGTTCGGTACCTTGTGAAGGAAAAAATCTGAATTTTTGGTTAATGCAAGAGCTTCGAAATGCCCGTCCCTTCCATCGAATCTGTTAACAGCACAAGCGCCTCAAATATAGGAGATTTGTTACAAGAAGGCGACTTTCAAAAGGGAGCCAAAATCACTGCTTTCGTTTTTCTCATGTTATTGTCTATGCTGGGCAACGCTTTGTTAATCGCGGTCGTGTACAAAAACGCTAATCAAAGAATGAGGACTCCAAGTAATTACTTCATCTTTAACATGGCCTGTGCTGATGTTTTGCTCACTGTATACACCGTTCCAGTCAGCAGTGTCACCACTGCATATAGCCACCAATGGCTTATCACGGGAGTCGCCGGCGAACTGCTTTGCCGTTTATCACAGTTCATTGGTCAAATGTCAGTCTTAGTCTCCACTGGAAGTTTGCTTGTGACTGCCTTGGATCGTTTTTTTCTGGTGTTTTACCCACTCAAGAGAATAATAACTCTTCGTATCGCCCGGTTATTGATTGGCCTCATTTGGATTTTTGCGATCGTGTTCACGGTGCCGTTATNTTTGCCGTTTATCACAGTTCATTGGTCAAATGTCAGTCTTAGTCTCCACTGGAAGTTTGCTTGTGACTGCCTTGGATCGTTTTTTTCTGGTGTTTTACCCACTCAAGAGAATAATAACTCTTCGTATCGCCCGGTTATTGATTGGCCTCATTTGGATTTTTGCGATCGTGTTCACGGTGCCGTTATTCAAAATGACCACTTTAGTCGAATTCAAGCCGGACCTCCATGTTTGTACGTTCAATTTTGGAATCATTAGATACGTTATCATTTATTTGTTATTCTGCTACCCTGTGTTAGTATTACTGCCTATCATTGCTATCATCCTTATCTACATTGCAATTGGATTCAAACTAAAACACACCATAGCACCTGGCAACCAACTCCCTTCAAATCAACATCGACGGGAACAGATGAACCGCAAGATATTAACAATGCTTGTCACTGTTGTTGCTGTGCTAATCGTCTGCCGTTTTCCGTTCATTCTTGGAATGATGGCTTGTTTCTCTGGTTTAAAAGCTTTTTGCTCATGGAACTTTCTTTTCCTTGGATGGTTTCTGGTATGCTTTAACAGTGGAATTAATCCTTGGATCTATTTCATCTTTAATGAGCAATTCCGTCAAGGTGCGAAATTACTGCTACAGAAGCTACTTCCGCGCTGTTTTAAAGTCACAAATGAAGTGGAAATGTTGGAATCGACTGGACGTCAAATCAAACAGCGCACATCACAAACACACGAGAGTAGCCACGCGTGGAGTTCTCGGTAAAGTCCAGGCAACAAATAGCTCAATCAAAATAATTTTACCCGGACAGCAAAATTCACATTTACCAGTTTCTTCCCTTTGCATTACTTATGGTACTAATGACAGAAATTTGTTCAGAACAACCCGGAAATTGTAGGATATTTCGTGTAGCTTTTACCTGGAGTTTTCATATGCATCCTTTGTGAAGTTTAACACGATGTATGGGGCTGGCTGGCGGGTAGATCGGCCATGCTGTACTTAAAGACCTTCGTTGTGGTTCAGGCCGTGTCCATGGAGCTGTATATTTATCAGAGATTCTACAACCTGGCGACGAGGATGGCTAACTAGTAGCGTGGGTATAGAATGGAAACGGTGGCTTCGTAGTTTTCAGTCGTATGCGAATGGCAAAGGCTTAATTCATATTCCTAACAATAATGACAACAAAGTACAGAGACGAGCGCTTCTTCATTGTGAGGAACCGGACGTCTAAGACAGTTTTGACGTTTTGCCCGAAACTGGCACTGCAAAGGATATAAAACTGACACAAATTCACATTCCACATAAGCGGCATTTGTTCTGAGAGATGGTTCAAGGAGAAAGTGAGACGACCGATCAATTTGTGCTGCTGAGGCAAAAATGCCAACAACGTGATTTCGGAGATCAAATGCAGGCCCATTCGAGATCAAATCATCTCAATCTGTCGGTCTAAGAGCTGCGACGTAAACTTTTGGAGAAAGGTCAGGCTCTCACTCTTAGACTTTAAAAGAACTAGCACCGAATTATGAAGTGGTAAAGAGGCTAACAGAAAGAATAAGTCTATCCATTGGGCCAGTCAATCGAGCCTACGACAGCCTGTCCAGGAAGAACAATGGAAATTCCAGTGCACAGCCAAATAGTGAGTGTTACAAATGTGTAAAAAGCTAGGGCTCTTTTGCTAAAGATATCCAGTACCCGGCAAGAGAAAAACTTGCATAAAGCGTTCTCAAGTTGAACAATTCGCAGATGATCATCGATTCTGAAGCAATTGCAAATGTGATGGTTAAGGCTTGTGGTTACAACTGAAGAGACGTCATATCAATTGTGTCTCAAAGCGAAGTACAAAAAAGTTGTTGGTGGGCCAACAAAGCAATCATTTGTGACAGACACCCGATTCCCACAATTAATGAAATAATTAAAGATGTGAACTACCATCAAATCCAGCTCAGGATTCATGTGGCATGAAAACGTTCCGTAACATACAAAGGTATGTTATTTGAAAGAGACTGATGTTTGGCATCAGCTCTGTTCCAGAGAAATATAAGCCAGTCATTCAAAAAGTGCTGAAATATTGTAGTGGAACGGAGAACATTTCAGATGACATCATCATCTATGGTCCTAACAGAGCTGAAAATGACAAGCGACTAGAGAAAGTGCTGACAACATTGAAGAACAGGGGCCTTACCCTTGTCAAGGAGAAATGTATATTTCACATTTATTGGCTTAATACTATGACAACAAGAAGAGAAAGTCGAAGCATTGAACCAAGCACGTGAACCACAAAATCGACAGAGGTTAAGGGTTTTCTAGCCCTGGTAAACTTCAATACCAGATTTATTCCTGACCTGACTACCATTTAAGAACCATCGAAACGATTGAGAAAGAAAGAAGTGTCGGTTTGTTTTTTTATCCCGAACAGCTGGCAGCCTTCACAGAACTGAAACGACAGCTAGCCCAGGCAGGTATGAGGACAGTCCTATTACAGGAGCGCAAAGGGAGAGAATCCTGTTATTGCTTATTCCAGCAGGGGACTGTCTGATGTGAAACGACGTCGTCGTTATTCACAAACGGAAAAGGAAGCATTAGGAATTGTGTGGGCCTGTAAGAAATTCCACGTGTGCCTTTATGAACTAGTATTTTAACTGCGAACCGATCACAGACCTCTAGAATTCATTAATTTTGAGTGGTCCAGACCCTCGGCAAGAATCGAAAGATGGTTCTCCAGCTACAGCCTCATTTTCTTCTCTGAAATATTTGTCTGGGCAAATGAACATTGCAGATGCTTTGTCACGCCGTGCAATTATCGAAGAAACTAGGACGAGAAATGTTGCTGAGAATGGAGTACACCAGATTAGTAGCAAACACAGCTGTGCTAAAAGCCATGACAGGGGAGGAAACTGAGGCGACGTCTGGAGTAGATGACGAGTTAGAGAGCCTGCTACAATGCCTGCGACAATGTATCAAGACCGGAAATTGGGAGAATGCAAGTTGTTCAGACTACAAGTCAGTTAGAGATGAACATTGTATTTTTGGAAATATGCTCCTGAGAGGAACAAGAATAGCGGTACAAAGGAAATTTGGAGCGAGAGTAACTGGGTTAGGTCATGACTTCATCCAGGAATGTTGAGAATGAAACAGCGATGTGGTGACTAGAACTTGATAAGGAAGCCAAGATCCTTTGCAAAACATGTCATGGGCGACAAGTTGGGAGTGGATCAAGCAGTCCTAACCTCGCCACATGACTGAGGTGCCTCTAGGATCCTAGCAAGAAATTGCGATTCATTTCATAAGTCCATCGCCTTCTGGAGACTACGTTTTCGCTGTGACTGACTATTACAGTGGATACGTGAAAATTATTATTGACAAGAAACTCAGTTAAAGTGGCCATCAGTAGCTTATCGAAGATGTTTGCCACCCATGGATTTCCCTATACTGTGATAAGTGATACTAGTTCCCATTTTTGTGACAGAATCGTTTGAAACATTCTTAAAGGACAACGGAATTAAGCACAGGAAAACCACTCCGCTTTGGCCCAGACCAATGGTAAGATTGAAAGCCAAAAAAAGGTCACTCCTAAAAAGAATGCTGAAGGCACAGGTGGAGGGAAAGAAATGGAAAGAGGCAGTCATGAAATATCTAGTTGCCTCTCGGGACACGCCTTACAAAGTACAGGTGTGCTTATCAGAGCTGTTGTTTGAAAGGAAGTTGGACACAAAACTTCCCAGTCCAGGTTGGGACAGAGACCAAGACATAAAAGGTCAAGATGAAGAAGTGTACGGACAAAATGCGTAATGCCGATGAAAGCAATTTGATGGCAGGAGACAGGGTCCTCCTAAGGCAATTGCAACTACGGGCAAACAAGTGGACTGCTAGTTTGGAACTCAGCAGTACGCGCTCATTGACAAGTGTGGCAGCAGTGTTGTGATCGAGATGCGAGGTCGAGGAAATTTAGAAATACAATATACCTGAATTTGTATCATAAAAGAGACAGGTGGTCAAGAGAAATCTATGTTCCATGAGAAAGACGGTGAAACTGATCCAGGAATGGAACCAAGTGATAAGGAACACTCCAGGCAGAGGGAAACCATCCCATGGCTGCCAAGTTTCCAGGACCAGTGTGGACAAGACATACGCCACAGAGATTTGAGGATTTCGTTCTTGATTGAACGTTTAATGTTTATTTGACTGAAAGGGGCATTAATCGTTACGCTTGGCATTTGTTACTCAACAATTAAGGAATGAGGCTGGGTATCTTATGAAGAATTGTTGAGATCGAGGAGGGTGTTATCGGCCGAGGCAAATAACACCCTCCGAGATCTCCATAATTCTTTATATGATACGAAAGCCGAATTCAATAATTTTTTATTATTCATTCAAAATAATTCCTAGTTTAAAAACATGGCTAAATCATGCTTACCTCCATCGATCCATCGATGTTAAGTTCATCTTCGATAGTGCACGTTTTATAGGGTTGTTCAGCTCCGCAAATATTCTCCAAATAGCAGATGTCGCCCTTCGAGTTGTCATCTTGCTGTTCTTGCCATGTTTTTAGCTGTTATTTCGCCTAGTTCTTACTCTTGAAACGAGTGAAATGCTCGCCATTTTTGTTTCCACACCCAAAACAACTCAACCTCGTCCCCAGGTCTTCTCGGTTAACGGTGCATTAACCTCCAAAAACGCTGCATTTTTGACGTCATTTCCTCGCTAAACACAAAATTCTTCCAAATTTGGTCATCAGCAACTGGTTATGGTGAATTATGCGTGTGCTTTTAGCCAGTCAGAATCGGGGAAAAATTTTGAATGAATAATAATGAATGTTTACTCAGGTTTGATAAATTTTATTTTCATTGATCTCGGATGGCTTTTGAGTGAAAGGAACATTCAGTGTTGAACTTGACATTTGTTATTAAACGTTTATTAGTTAAATTTGATCAATTCATCTCAGGTTTTGCTTTTGAGACTTCTTACTTGCCGTTTAAGGTAATTCCCTTGTTTTGCACGGCGCACCCTCTACTACGCGTGATATTGCGACATCCAAGATGGCGGCGGTTATTTCCGCTAGTGCGAAAGGAACAAACAAGGGCCACTTTTGCAGAGCTAAAGCTTTTATTCGCAATACTGCCGCAGATCGGCTGAGAGCTTCCTGGTCTGCAATTGACAAACAAAGAAATGAAAAAAAAATGTGTGTGATCCCGAAGTCTGCAGTGGTGTTTCACTTTGCAGCCGTCGAGTTGTGGAATTAAATTTAAAAATGTCCTGGCTGAGGCTTTGGATGGGGCTGTGAATCCTATGGGACAGCTCTACGGCTCTCCAACAGTGTCTGGCCTAGGATCGCTACTGTGCATATGTTGTTCAAACTCCAAGTTTGGAGAGACGAATATTTGTGGAACAAATAAGACCCACCGTTACCAGAACCACGCGTGGAAGACCAATCTTTGATGTAAACACGAAGTTTGCTGCTGAATTCACATCTTGCTGTGTATGTTTTGGCAATATCAAGCACATAAAAACAACCGAAAACAAGCTTGATCTCGAGTGCATACTTCGAACACGATGGGCTTTATTTTGTATCTCGCCCCAGTCCCCGCCGCGCAAATTATCCATCTTGACTGCGATCTCAAAACCGTGCCCACCTTTCACGGCAGTTTGTGAGGAAACAAGCACGGTGACCTCCGATTTTGTTTTTCAGTTAATTGCTAAGAACAGTCTAATAAAGAACACCTTTGAAGAAGAAAAAAAGTTTGACAGTAGAACATGATTTTTTTTTTTGGAAAATAGTTCCGTACTGGGTGTATTTAGGCCAAGGCGAGGCAAATCAAAGATAACAAAATAAATAAAGTAACGAGCTAACCACGGAACTGCCCAAAAAAAGTGCAATATCCCCACAACCAAGCAATCAAAAACGGTTTAAATGAAGCAATACTGCTTATTTGAATATGAAAGAAGCTTTATTTTCAGGATAAAATTTTGTGTGTTTCAAGTAACAAAGACTTACCTTGGTAATTCTGTATGAAGGTAATTCGAATTTTTAACGCCCAACCAATAAAAATACCCCAGTTTAAGAGCCTGCTGACGGGTAAACAAGCACGGTGACCCCATCTTTTTATTGCATTTTTTTAATATTCATATCATAAATGTTGATTATGCCAAGTTTCCAAAAAAGTTTGAAAGTAAAACCGATTTCAAGGGAATTACCTTAAGTTTATAATGTCATATCTGTTCCCTCTATTAGAAGGGGAGAGCAGTGTAGGATCTTTCGTGTAGTTTTTACATGGAGTTTACATGTGTATATTTTGTGCAGTGTAACATGACGTATGGGGCTCGCAAGAGGGTCGATCGGCCGTGTTTTATTAAAGCATTTTCGTTGTGTTTCAATTCGTGTCCATCGAGCTGTATATTTATCGAGATTTTACAGAGGTGATAAATTCAAACTGTTGAGTACCCGACCGTGCAGCAGTTCGATTAACACCAACAACAATGATAACGGTACTTATTCAGTCTTCACAATCTTGTTCCAAGAGCCCGCGTTACCCTTACTCAGCGGAACTTGAACGGAACTCGCTCCAAAGCATTTTTTTTTTCATTTTTTTAACGTGACCTTTGATCGATGTATTTACTAAACAAAGTAACTCGAAAGGGCTGTTCATAGAGACCGAAAAAAATTAAACACCGCTGCTAAAACATTCGTTAGTCATGACGACACACATTCAGTTTCGTGCTCAGAATAAGCACAGCTGTATGCAAATATGAAAGGTTCAGTAACATAAATGTGTAAAATTGGTTAAAAAGTGGCATTGACATGACTTTCAAAAAAAAGCAATTTTTTTAACAAAATGACATTGTAGCGTAGTTTCGTGTAGTTATTTGCCTGTAATAAATACGTTTTTATCGAACAATCATAAAATCGAAGATTTTTCTTCGGATTCTTTCAGAAGTTAGTGATCCTTGATTCTGACCAAGAGGATCGTGGCCTTTGGGAACGAGATTGCAGCCTTCACAAATGATTTTACAGGAAGTGCTAACCCGCAGACAGAAACACCAGAAATAGTAATCGGCGTAGGCGGGTCAGGCACAAAGAAAAAAATTTGTAAGTGCATGTGTAGATATTTACAGATGGTTAGAAGAAAGAATCGGCGAGAATAAAGAAGTGTAACAGAGAAGAGAAATCTTTCAACTTTAATGTTAGACTGAATATAATTAGTCCGTTACTTCCTTATAATTTCAGTTCCCTTTCAGTTGGTGTAGGTTATGTTTGCGCGCGCAATTCTTTTTACGTGTGTCTTAAGATCATTATTTATCGCATTACATTTTCTTAAGACTGTTTCCTATTCATATGCCTTGTCAGTAACTGTGTACACAGTGGGGTGGGTGGCTCCTCCTAAAATGTTCCACAATTGTATGGAATTTAAGCAAGAACCGAATGAGCTATCATTCTCTCTTGGATTTAATGGACCTGAATTTTGACCAAACATGTGGGAGTGCACAAATTTTAGGCATCCTCCTGATGAACAATTTGCCGTAAGTCCCTTTGATTAGTTAAAATCTTGACGTTGTAGTGTGTGTTTGTTAAACAGGGTCAGGGTTTGAACGTCTCGACGGCACGCTTCTACCCAAGCGTTCCTTGAGGTACCCCCCACCCACCCCACCCAATCGGGCTTTTGACCAACTGTCTACATCAGTCTTTCAAACACAAAAAATAAAAAGGCTTTTTCCTGGTTTTTGGCCAACAATTTAATTAACCTCAAAACGAAACAGCTCATTCCTATTGTAGAGAACCTTTTGCACTATTTAAAATAGAAGCACGTGGTTTAGCCAGGTTGATTTAAAGTGGGATTTCACTAGATTCTTCTTGGTGAGTACAGCCGACATACAGGGATGTGCTTAAGGGTGTGGCGGGCGTGGGGAATATAGCTGATGATTTGATTATTTATAGAAATTGATTCGAAGAGCACGAAAGGAGGGTCTATCCGGCTCAGACAGCGGATCGACGCTAGTCAGTAAGTCCCGCTTATCCAAGCTCGGTTTTTACGGACACCAATTGACAAGTGATGGTATCAACCCAAGAGAGTAACAGATTGCAGATATCCAAGACACAAGAGCTTGCCAGGACGTCAGTGAGATCAGGTCTTTTATGGTCCTGGCCCTAGTTGTTCAAAAGATGGATAACGCTCTCCACTGGATAAATCTCTATCCACTGGATAGCGCAATTGGTTTCCCAAATACTTATCCGCTGGATAGTTGTTTGTCCGGTGGATAGCGCTATCCAACGTTTGAACAATCGGGGCCTGGTGCAGTACTCGGCGAAGTTCATGCCGGATGCAGTATCGGTAGCGGGACTTATACTAACACTAGCTGATGGAAAGGTGTTGTGTATGCATGAGGGAGGTCAGTAGTTTGTAATTTTTGCGCGCGTTTTGATTGCCCCCGTGACAAGGAATATGATTGGCTGTTTAGGCCCCGTCCACAAGTATCCGTATACTTTTGAAAACGTAGAATTTTCGGCTCCGGCGTAGCCTTCTGTCCAGAGCTAGACGTAGAGGATGTTTTCGGGCCCCAGAAACGTAGGTGTTTTAGAAACGGTGCCCAGAGTGGAGATTGTCCGGCTCCTCGTTCACGTGTAGGCGGACGAAAACGGAGGGTTTCGAGTACGATATCTGTACTAGGTATGCTACCGTATTTTTATCGTTTCAGCGTTTTCGTCTGGAAATCGATTCAAAGTTATTAAGGTCAAAAACAGGAGGAGGTGAACACAATAATAGTGAAAGGGAAATTTAAAAAATGAGATGATGGCGCGACGCAAATTTTTCCCAGGTGGGAGCCCATTGTGCTACGTTGAAAACTAATAGACCTTGTCACTGTTTTGGAAGCCATCTTCGTGAGTAGCTAGGCAACCGGAAACAGTGTTTGTACGAAAATCTAATGTTGAATAATTTCTGCAAAACGGCTGTTCTGCTCTCTCCTCCGCATAGGCTCCCGCTGGGTACCCCTATAAAAATAGCAATGATCGAAAAAGATAGAAAGCGCGCGGAGGATGATCACGCAGTTCTCAGGCGGGGAGCATTGCGTGACTCCGGCCCAAGCGGCTATTTTAAAAGTTCAGGCTGACGTGTTTGTGCGCTGTTTAATCGGTCCCTTCATACAGAACAGAAACAGGAGCCGATTAGGGACGGACCGTTAGAAATCTTATGGGGGGGGGGGGGGGGGGCAAATCAAAAAAAAAAATTTCGGGAAGGGGAAGGTGGGCAGAAAAAAATATATGACCGCAAATAAAGAACGAAAGAGCGGAGGGAGGGGAAAGCGGGAAACCCCAAGGGGCGGACGCAACATAAAAAAAAAACACACAAAAGAACGCAACCAAAAAGAGGAAAGGAGGAAGGGAGGGGGCGGGCGGTGCTGGGGGCGGCGGGGGGCGGGGGCGGGGGACTCGGGGGGCTCGGAGCCCACTTCAATATTTGAAACGGGTCGGGGGTCGGGGGTGGGACCGGGTGAACCGGCCCACAAAGAAGAGAAGGGAGGGGGGGGGGGGGGGGGGCGGGGGGGGGGGAAGGTGGGGGGGGGGGGGGGGGGGGCGAAGTACAAAAAAAATATTCGCGCAAGGGAAAATTGAATGAAAAAAATTCTTGCACGCCAATTAATCCTTAAAAATATTCATGCTATGGCCTAAAAAAAAACATACATGGAATTTGATAACAAAAAAAAATTCCTGCGGCTCGAAAATTCCCCTCCCCCCATAACTTTTCTAATGGTCCGTCCCTTACTGGCTCCTGACAGAAGTCATTTTTGAAACTGATTGTTCATTGACTACTCATTTGTTACTCATTGATTAGGTTGTCACAATTCATTGACGTGAAGGATTTCAGGGTGTAAAGGCCAGCAGGGCGGAAAACTGATGCAGGGTTTTCACTGAGTGTGTGTACTATTTTAACACGTACGCATTTTGCAACATTATTTGAAAGGGCTTTTTACTGGAGCTAGGATTCAAATTACACGCTGAGAGACTGATACCATCAGAAGTTATAGAATATTTTTGTCTTTGGAAATTTTTTTCCGGAACTGATAAGTTTTTTTTTGAAAATAATGAAGTAATGATTTGTAATGATTTATTTTTATATATTGGAATATTAATACTTGAAATAAGAAAAAGTTTCGAACAGGACTAACGGAATTATGAACGCCCCATAATCCCGTGATTAGGGTAATTATTCGTCAATTCCAATTTTATCATTTTGGGAGTAGTCCGACCCGGGGGGGACTCCGCATGTGAAAGGGGTGGGGAAGCTCGTCGGAAATTTTGAATTAAACCCCTAAAGGTGGCCCAAATTTTTTTGTGACCCCTAGAAGAGACCATGTTAAAACACAGACAACATATATTTTTTTAAAAATTTTTTCGCGTGCAACCCTAAACGAGACCTTCACGGCTAAATATAATGGCGTTTTGCCCAGAACACCCTAAGTGAGACTAAATTCCGAAAATTTCACCCCTAAGCGAGACGACGAGCATCCCCACCCCTTTCATATGCGGAGTCCCCCACCGGGTGGTACGACAACTTTTGACATCTTTGAGAACATCAATGAAGACTCAAGTGCTTCTTTCATTTATGGCTGTTTACAGCTACCATGGTATTCTGTCTAACTCTACCGACAGCTATCGAGTCGATAAAAAAACTCTGCAACTAACAAGGTGCAAAATCTTCCTACTTCATGAGTTTGTGAATCCTTTATCTTGAACCTTTACCTTTGCAGAAATACTTAATAATTTATATCAGAAAGGAATCCCGATTTGAAAAATAATATGATAAAATGAATACACCGGGACCGTTGACAAAGTGAAATCCTCAAAGGTTGAGGTTTCCGTCTAGTTAAGTGTTTCATTATTCAGTACCGGCCCAAAGTATTAGAGGAAAAAACATCACACGTGAAGCAGTAAACGGAAGTTAATTTCATTGATTTCATTGGCTTATCCTTTATCAACAAACACAAAAGGTGTATTTCATCACGTGGGGTGGCGCCAAAGTCCAATCGGAAATTTACTAGTACAACAACATGCTAGCACGCGCTCGCTTCCACAGCCCTCAGTCATCCGGACTCGCTTAACCCAGTAGATTTTCCTTGAGCTTTTCAATAAAGTCGTCGAAAACCTGACCTAATCACCAGCCTGACGCCTTCAAACGTGAAATGGTGCGTTCAAAATATGGCTATCCGGCAAAACAAGGCCTTTACTCGCCGGAGTTCGAAAGGGAAGCTTGCGGAGTAGGGTTTGTGGCGAAAATCAATGGGGAAAAAAGCCATCAGGTATTTTTCTTTTAATGAACACTTCGTTAATTGATCTTGTTGCTTAACTGGTTACTCATAAAAGTTGCTGGAATCCCAAATGTGAAGAGTAAAAACAATCGTAAGTTAACACACATAGACCGCCATTCATACAAAATCTCTGTACC